ATCCTTCTAGGTAGAAGACAATAAGCCTGCATTAACAGCCATGAAGTATAACCACTGTACCTTGTGGATTCAAATGGCAAAACAGGACAGGGACAACTCTTCTCAGCTTACTTCTGAAGGTGTCTGTAGTCAGTCACTACAATCTAAGTTATTTTCATTTACATGAGCCCCTCAGTGAAGAACACACTGCAGGCAGAGTGTGCATGGGAGAAGACACACAGAGCAGAGCCCAAACTAAGAGTGAGAACATGTTGCTGAAGGGTTCAGCAAGCAAGAGCTCTCGCCCAATGCTCTCCAGTTCTGACCATTCCATTAACTGCCCCTTTGCCACCCTTTGATTCCCCCCTCCCCTAAATTACATTCTGGTAAGTTAAGTCACACAGACTAATGTGAGTAACACCATTAGATACAAGAATCGATATATTTACTGTTTTTACAAATATATTCATTTAAACTTTAAAAGAAAGGATGGAAGAAAGAATAAAGCAGGGAGTTCCTGGTAAATCCAGCAGAAAGCAACAGAACTTCCTGACCAGTTCCAGAAACAAACACACACATCTGGCCCAAACTGAAAGTTCTGAGTTGTAAAATAGTCTCTAAATGCAGCAATTCAAGGTAACCAAAGCTAATGAAGACCCAGGAAGGTGACCAGTGTGCATCAAAAGGGAAATACATCTCAAAGGAAATTTGAGTTATATCTGGGCATTGACTTTTTATATGTGAATTCCACAGCAACAAGGAATAAACCCAACCTGTTAGAGGTACTGATTAAGCAACTATTGGTATCACTGAACTTCTGTAGAAGCTAAGTGCAAAAGAAACCCTCTGCTAAAGCACAGACACTGCTTCTTAAGATACTGGTCCTGAACATAACTAAAGACATTCCAGGATAAAGAATTCAATGAAGTTATATACAAATATGGGATTTCAAACCACAGGAATGCAATGATTCCAAATACAATTTATTCACAAAAAAAATCTGAATTTAAACCATCAGGCTTATATTATTTTCTTTCATTCCTAGGAAACAGAGAATGAAGCAGAATTTTAATTAGGCCTTAAAAGATTTATTCCTGTTAAAAAATATCCAAGATGAGTTTGGTACAGAGAAGGAGGTTATTGAGAATTAAAAAGTGCTCTTTATTCGAGAGGAATGCATTCAAACTCAGAGATAAACTGAACACCAAGCTTACACACTTGGATCAACTTGGATACAACATCAACAGCTGCAATGCAACGTTTCCCAGGGTGTTTTATCAAAGATTAGCCTTGACCTGGAGTAAGCATTTGCAATTTATCTGTTGTAGCATTCAGGAGCTGAGCTCCATAAGCTGCCGACTGTGCCAAGAGTCTGAAACTCCATGAGGTAAACTTTTAAGCAGGCTGTAGTCCAAGACATTTTGTGGACTTATCTTCAGGCTTGGGCTGAATCTCACCTGCTGTCACTGAATCCAAAATATGCTGTTTCCGGACAACAAACTTTGTAATCACAGAGCATATCAGAATTAAAATCCAGCTAAACCAAAAAAACCTAAACGAAAAAAAAAGATAAAATCTTCCTCTGGCCATTCTGCAAGAAGACCATAAAACTGTTTCAAATCTAGGGAGGAAAAGGGATCTAGAAGAAGCAGCTTGGGCTTCTTAAAGAGAATTGAAACATGAGGGACTTTTGTTGAGAGAAGAAAAACTGCCCCTGCTCCACTCCTGACAGTTCAGTTGACTGGCTGCATGGGGAGAACGGCCAGTGAGCGTGAAAGAACAGGGGCACAAAAGCATAATGGAACTGTCAGGTAAACCACACTGCAGTCATTACTTCAGTGACAACAAAGTTGCTGGGAGGGAATGAAAAAGGTGACTTGTTTGTTTGTTTGATGTTAAATTATCTGTCTCTGCTGAAACCCCATGAAAAATGATAGTCATTTATGTTCTCTGCACAGTAGCAAAGACATGCATTTATTTTTTGTGAAATCTGGAGAGCTCAATTCTGTACTCTGAATGACACATACTAGAAACCATTTCAACCTGTAACTGTTAATCTGCCCTACCAATTTTATTATATAGTAATCAAAAGAAAACTCACTTTTGGCATATTAAGCAAAACACTGACTGTTTAATTTTCCTTTCACCTCTCTGTTAACTATTATTCTGTGGACTTCAATGCCACTATTCCAAATGTGGAGGAAAACACAAAGCAGATTCAAAGGGCTCCTGCGCATAATGAGATGTTTCTAGTTCTGAAACATTCAGTGATCACTCAGGTACTTACCACCTGCTAATCAAGACAGCAAGGACTCTCCTGATCATTCACTTTTTTATCTTAAACAAATCAATGTATTCCTCAAGCCACTTACCCTGTAGTCTCTGGACACACCTTCTGATGGGACAGACCCTGAAATCTGACTTGAAATGGTCGCAGCTATCAGCTGTTTACACCACTCCACGTGGGATCCAGTCGGGCTACAAAAGCAGAAATTTTAAATTATTTAGCAGTAATTAAAAATGTATATTGAAAACAGCATAGCAACTGAGTACATCCAGAAAGCAACACTGTAAGTGATCACTAACATCAAAAATTAGCATGCTCTGTGGGCAGAATGCAACTATTCTGCTGATCAAATTAGGAAAAAGATTTTTATTATATTGAATCAGAGATGCAGAGCTGTCAGTAGGTTAAAAATGAGGTTAGGATCCTATGAACTTATAAAAATGTTATGTTCCGTATCCAGTGTAATTTTTTTTCATCATTCACAAACTTTTTTCTTAAACCCATTCATAGAATGAGTTTGGTCAAGTAACAGGAAACTCCTTATACTGTCCTTATTAATATTTCCTTATTATTCTGTAAATCCTCAGAATTAAATTACTCTATGCTAGTATTAAAGAATTTAAACTATACTAGTGTTGTATTCTATTTAATGTTAAATGTTGAAAATATGTTTTCTAAAGGGTAACTTCTAGTTAGCTGTATTTTTTTCCAATTCATAAAACAATCTCTGAATAATCTTCAGAGCAGGCCTTTCCACGTCACAACAAGGAATTCTGCAGTGTAGGGTGTTTGTAAGAACCCTAAAGCATCTGAACTGCAGAACTGCACTAAATCCCAGATGGTGCAATTTGAGAACAGTCACCTGAACCAGTGCTGCCCTCAAGTAAAGCAGTACTGAGAGTGAGAAGCAATGACAGTTTGAAGTGCACTGGGTCTGTTCAAACATGACAATATCTGATGAAAAACTGGCAATGGCAGAGGGAACTGTTCCCTGAGTGCCACTACAGCCTCGGCTGACACCTTAGATAACTGCCATTTTTCTTCAAAACCATTTAGCTGGGCTCTTCTACAGATTGAATGCTTATTCAGAAGCCAAATACAGCAAGAGAATGTTAATTATCTTTTTTTTAAGTCATCCATAAAATAGCTTTGGATTCTGTGAGTATCTCGTGACACTGAAGTGAATATACATACACACCCAGCACCCAACAGGTGCACCAGACCTCTGACATTAAGAGGGTGGGGTAACAGCCTTAGATGACCAATTATTACTTAACTAGAGGTCCTTCCTTGCATTGACTCCACCAGGTGACAACTTCACACCTGAAATGAAAGCTCTTCCAAAACTTTCCTGATTATTTTAGTAGCTTTCTTCCCACCTGCACATTCTATACAGTACTAGATCTCACAATGTTGTTTTGCAACTAAAACAGATCTATGACAGTCCTGTTTTGAACAACAAAGATAACTCTCAGGTTAGTGCTGAACTGGAGCCCAGATTCACTTAGAGAAACTTTTCATTTAAGTTTTTCAATTAAGAGCACAAAGGCTAAATCCTACAGTAATCCTTTTCTGATCTCATTTATTTCTCTTTCTCTCACATCTCTTTAGGGCTTGCCTATGTTTGTTTTCAAATAAGCATTTACTTGTTAATTAAGACAAGGATAAATTTTTCTATGGCTTATCTTCACCAGGGATCACTACATCAACAGAGTTAAAATAGTAGCAGGAAAACGAATGTGCATGCAGGACCATCCCCTAGGACCAGTGTCAGGAAGTGTCAGTGTGCCAGAGATCACACCGCTGCCTTCCCACCACCGGCCAAGTGGGGCACACACCAGTACTGCCCTTCTATTCTGTCTCATCTGCAGTCACTCACATTAGTGTGAAACACTGGCAAATAAATAAGCCATATGACCAGTGGACATTATAACTTCCCCAGGGTAGAACAGGATTAGGAAAAGAAAGCTGAGAATTAAGATAAGAAAGTACATTAATAAGGAATACAAAGGTGCATGTTTTGGTGATAGAAAATGGACATTTGATTTCCACCTTTACTAGATGAACAATGTAAAACTCTAGGTTTCTCCTAACAGAGACATAAGAGAATACAGAGACTGGAAAACCTGGCACTGATTTCTAAATAGAGTTTGCTTGTTTATTTTTCATGGCAGTGAGACTTCTGTCAGTTTCAACTCCTTGTTTAAGGATTTTTAGGCTCAGCACTTAAATCTGCCTTCAGCTGGAAACTTCTAAATGAAGGAACGACTCTGCCAGCAGCTGCTGGAGGAGACG